TAGAAAACGAGCTCCTGTATGTGCAAAACCAAATTTTAAACCTGATGTTAGTTTTGCTTTTATTTAAAGGGTACATGACGTATGAAATTTCATTTAATTGCTTCCATAAATAATAAAGTTGGCACTGCACATCCCATCCTGCACAAAACCAAATTTGGAAAATGGCGCTAGATTTACTTTTATTCCAAGTGGCTATGTATCAAATTTCATTTGAACGCCTCCATAAATAAGAAAGTTGGCACTGCGCATGCGCAAAACCAAATTTTGAATCTGGCGTTATATTTGATTTTATTCCAAGTGGCTATGTATCAAAATTCATTTAAATCCCTCCATAAATAAGAAAGTTGGCACTGCGCATGCGCAAAACGAAATTTTGAAACTGGCGTGAAATTTGCTTTTATTCCAAGTGGCTATGTATCAAATTTCATTTAAATCCCTCCATAAATAAGAAAGTTGGCACTGCGCATGCGCAAAACCAAATTTTGAAACTGGTGTTAAATTTGCTTTTATTCCAAGTGGCTATGCTTCAAATTTCATTTAAATACCTTTATAAATAAGAAAGTTTGCAATCCGGTTTGTAAATGGTCGAGATGCGAAAAGGGCACTGTGAATGTTGATCGATTAGGCTCAATTTTTGGAATTGCGTTTTATATGGCTAAAGCTATACGGTTCATAACTAACGGAGATGTCAAAAGGGCCTTCTTTATTTTTTGGCATACATTGCCAATTCACGAACTCCGATCTACAAATTTGATAAAGAATCCACCCACAAGATTTCATTGTAATCGGTTCATTCGTTATCGAGATATCGTGCTAAAAGACAGACGGACAGACACCGCAAAATTATAAACTCGCTAGGAGCTCGTTAATAAGTAAACAGGATAGACGCCACTTAATCATAGAAAAAATTTGAAAAGGGACCAAATCCTGAGGACGAGCAAGACCAACTCGTAGTACGAAAATAATGATCAAAATATACTTCCGCAGGATTAACGGACTTATAATGATCACAAAAAAATAATTACAATGCGGCTGTATCGAAAACCTTAATGTACAAACGTTATTCAACGGAGTTCCGGAGAAATAAAATACTGGACTTCTGAAGTAATGGGTTGCAACCTCTCCGAGCTCAGAAGGGCGCTTTCTGCCAATAATCTGCAATCAGATAAAAATACAAGTCGGCAACGTACAAAACTAATCGTGAACGTTAATTCAGGAAACTACTTTATAAAGCAAAAATCAAATTTGTATACAACGTAATGTAGATTCGAAGAATTCATAGAATCGACTCTCGGCGCCGGTACGGTGAAATCGTAAAGCGTATGGAAGCAATTCACAATAGCAATAATGTTCCGAAAGGTAAATGTAGATAATACTTGTAGTTAAAAATCAGGAACAGTAATTCAACTCTTCATGTGTAATTAATTTGTATGTAGGAGTATTGTACCACGTGACGGTCAAGTAATTTTCAGGTAGACAATAACGAAGTAACAGGAAGAGAAGAAAATAAACCAGAAAATAAAGACCTGATGTTAAAGCAAATATGGCGCAACGTTACAATACATAGGTACCCAAAAGGCTTAAAACTTGTAGAAATAGCAATAGCGTCAGTGAAGCGTAGAAAGCATCTCACAAGAGAAAAGCTTCACCGAAAATACCACAACGGCTATTAAATCCCTTATTAAACGTAATCATGAAATTTGTCACAATAAATATGGCAGCGTGAATCTTTACAGTACTCGTTCCTCTCTGCCGAGCATGTACTGCGCGCACAGATCAAAGAAAGGGAAAAATTATTAATAAGGTCACTAGATATATTTATATATTCTATATTTAGTGACTTTAATTATTAAATAAAAAGCATGACCTCTAGCGGAAAAATAAAGAAAACCTAAGAAGTAAAAACTTTACCAACAAAACGAAGTACAACGAGAACTTACACGAGAAATACACCGCAACTGGTAACAAATGGGATATACAAATTTAAAAAAACGTTACAAGTCTCGTAAAGGACTATTAATGGCTCTTCAAAATTCGAATATTAAATTATTAAGCGCCTTGAATAACTCTCAAAAGCTCTTATAGACGTGTTACAGGCTTTAAAGGCCACTAAAAATTTGCGCAGACCATTGAAGACTGTAGGAGAGAATACATTTTGAAGATTTTTAAAGTTTCTTAAACGTTCCGAAGGAGTACGTGCCAAAGGCTGTTAAGTGCTTTTAAAAACTCGTAGAGACTGCCTATGTAACTTTAAACACCATTGAAGCCTCTAGAAGGCTTATGGATAGATTTGAAATGCTTGAAGGCTTTTGAGTATTAATATTTAAATGCTGTTGAGGCTCTAAAAGTCTGCGTTGAGATAGGTACTATCATGTATTTTTTGGGGTAGACCACAAAACGTGTCTGAAAAGATTTCCGAGAGGAAGGAATATTTCTGAGATGACCAAGACCGTTTCAAGGAAGATCACCAAGAGATTAATGTACCTTTAGCAAGAGGTTTTTCAAGAGTTATAAGAAGGTTTCTAAGAAGTCTCCCAAGCAAGTTTCTAAAATGATTGTTGACGAAAGATTTCTACACAATTTTCTAGGACAAAAGTATTCGTGTAGCAGCCCCTCGGATGAATATGTCCACATTTGTCGAGAGAGAATACTAATGGGGATGAAATAGTTCAAAGGCAATTTTTCTGAGAACAAATGTTACGGGGCGGATACTCAGGACTCGTTTTTTTGTGGCAACTATTTTACCCTGGAATCATGCCATCTTTTTGTTATCGCTATTTTCTATTTCTTTGCTATCCATCTCGTAGTTTGCACCCTCTTTTTGTACCTTAAAACACGGATATGTTTTTAATTGCAAGGTTGTCACGTTGCTGACGTTGCTATTTGAGATAAATTAAAAATGCTTCCCAATATCCGGACATCGAAATTGGGACACGGTCACTACGCCACCTACAAAACACCTGTCCAGCTAGCTCAAAACAAATCAAAGTTGAAATTTAGAATTTTATGATCGCTCCTCGTAGACATCGGCATCTACTATAAGAAAAATCTTAATAACGACTTAAAATTTATCAAATCGAGAGACTCTGTGGCCTCGATCAACTTCCGACAATTCCAAAGAATTTATTACACAAATTTTGATCAACATCTGAATTAAATCTTGGGCAACAATAAAAAAGATCTGACATGAAAACTCTATCCGGGTCGGACAAAGAATTCGAATAAACGCACAATTAATTGATTGCCAATAATTTATTCCGAAACACATGAAACCTCGCATGAACCAATTAAAACGAAATCCCTGAAAGAAACAAAAGCTTACAAAGCTTGCTTGGACATAATACCCCGCACTGAGGCGGTCAACAAAAAAAATAAGAAATCTTAACATTATTTACACTTTTTCCAAATAATCTGGTCTTAAAGGGTTTGCGATATTCAGGCGCACTTATCAAAAACACAAAAACACTCTCTCGTTTTTAACTAACCACAAACTTTTACTACTTCACTTGATGATAACTTAAAACTTTTAATAATATTATTTAACTTCTTCTGTACACTTTATTTCGAAGTCGACGAACTACGTCTTCAATTAAACAAGTCGGCCCAACCGCCCGAAAATTAGCGTAAACAAAAATACACGCTCTTTACCGTCGCGAAACTAACAGCAGCTTCGCTTTTACGTTTATTCCAGTATTTAAAGAACCACTACTTCCACCAAAAGATAAATTCCTTCTTCAGAATTTGCAAATAACACCGCCAATCACAATTAGACTTAATAACGCTACCTTCGAAGGAACGCGTCCCCACTAACGCCGAAATAACGCGCACATCGTAAAACATCTGCATCGCTTAACAGCGATAAAAACACACGCGTTAATTAAAATTCCCCTGTCTTATTTAAAGCATCTTACCTGAACTAATTCTGAAAGAAAACTAAGCACTGAGATACAAATTCAAATAAAAGAAAACCAACTACGTAATTATTCGTAGATAATCCCCTAAATTTACACAATATTCCCGTATGATGATTATTTTTGGTGTTTAAACAACAGTATAGCTTGTTCGCAATCATGACACATATAGAAAGATCTTCCTAACTATCAAGCCAGTATATTTTGCTGTTTTCCCATCGAAATTCGTGACGAAGTTGTAAGTTGTTTACTATTTTTACTTAAGAAGAAAAAGCAGCAAGATACATTTTTCCTCGCATTTTTCATGCATTCACACACATTAGGTTTAATTGCGTACCTTGCAAGATTTGAATAATTTGAAATCACACAAGATTTGGAACGAAATAAGAGAGAATTTTCTCACCTTTCCACTGTTTCTACGTGTATATAATATGCGGATATCTAGTGCGAATCGCAAGGACGTTGGCGAATCCGAATACATTGGCGGATTTCCAAAAAAATATCAGAATATCTGTCCCTGGAAATCCAAGTACGTGCAAGGGTGTTCCATAGGTTTCCGATGTATGATGATCCATGGATTTACACACTAAATGGATGTCTGGTGTACAAAACTTTATCTGTGATTTCCTCCTCGTATAACCATTGGAAACCTAACACATTGGAATTGAATGGCATATCATTGTGGAAAGTTATTTCTAATTCACACTTGCTGTGAATAAGTAGGTATAGGGAATGAGTAATGAGTATAATGAATCTTGGCTGCCGGGGCCGTTGCATTGAAAGCGCGTTATCACCTAGGTACCTACCCTATAATACGTTTTGACTTGACTCTTGAGGATAAAGATTATGTTCTAAAATTGCGACTTTAGGAGCCGATCTGGTAAACAGACGGCGAGACAGACGGCATAGCGCCGTCGAGTCGTTAACTGCCACTTACATAACCACGAATTCAACCGCACGTATTTACGTAATCTGCGAAAAAATTCCTCCAGTTTAACAATGTACTTTTGTTTGAGTGGATACAGTAGAATTTTGCATGTTATAAACATTATAGATTGAAGCATTAATTCGTTTTATTATCATTAACAGCATGCACACCCCTGACGGCACCCTCGAAAAGGGACAGGCGCCCCCGTATACTACAACACCAATCAACCTACAGCAGAGCTATTGTGACCAGATGCAGGTGTCGCATTTATTCTCTCTTCCGAATATGGACGAGAAGGGCAATTTCAGTACAAGGTACAACATTTTAATTTTATGTTTGTAGTCGTTTCATTTATGTGCAAATTTTATAAAATCGATGCGTTATTTTGACTCCGCTCGTTATTTACGAAGGGTTGCTTGATTATGTATTGTTTGCATGCGCCACCCTTTTAAATCACTCCGCCACGTGCCGAATGTCAAGAGGGGTGCAAACATGGAGCGTGGGGTTCCCAGGTAATGTGAACCCAAGCCCAAATGAAACTGTAGCGATTAATCCCCATTTCTGCACCAGTCCATTACAGAATTCATCAAGACACAATACTCACGACACTGACCCACCTCACCCATTTGTCCTGTGTGGGTTACTCCCTTTCGCCCACTATGATGAGTAACTTAAAATCAGAATTAAGGGAAGTAAGAGTTCGTAACTGAAATTCAATCATGTTTGTATAAAAAAAATGGATGTGGGGCAACCAGTCTGACAAACTTGCTGCGTTCGCTGCCTATACAGAATCCATCTAAATGTTCTCCTTTGAAGTTATTTTTTGGTAACATATATGGTGAAGATTCAAAAACCATGTTTTCCGCGACATTTTCGTACAAGAAATATACAGGGTGTTCATTTGGAAACTTCCCACCTCAGATTTATCGAAGACCACTAATTAAAGAGAAAACCGCCGAGACACGTCAAAAGATTCGTCAAGGGGGACAACTTTTTAACCAAAAACTACTTCTCCCCCTTTCACACTCTGCCCCCCCCCCTAGGGTCATTCCCTTAAAAATTTTAAATGACAAGTGGTATCGAGTAATAGCTTGTTTGAAAGGTCTTTCGAAGTCCTTTATTTTCACGTTTGATTTTTTCAACTCGGTCGATTCGTTTTCGAGAAAATTAGAAAAATTTTGGAAGTAGAATCTGAATCACTAAATTAATGTTCACAATTCCAAAATTGTCACAAAGGTAACTGACAGCAAATTAAATTCTGTCCAAATAAGGGAAAATTTGGTTTGTTTTTGCTGTCTATCTGAACAAATTAAGATTAAGAGTAAATAAATTAAGTAAAGGACTTCGAAAGACCTTTCATTTCAAACAAGCTTTCACTCGATACCACTTGACATTTACAATTTTTAAGGGAATGACCCTGGGGGACAGAGTGTGAAAGGGAGTAAAGTAGTTTTTGGTTAAAAAGTTGTCCCCCTTGACAAATATTTTGACCTGTCTCGGCGTTTTTTCCTTTAATCAGTGGTTTTCGATAATTCCGTGGTGGGAAATTGTCAAATGAACACCCCGAGAACACCCTGTATATGACCAATGATTAATGAACCTATTTAAACAACTATGTGCAGTAGGTCAGTGGCGAATAGAGTCTAGGTGGCAAAAAATAGGGGCGACAAATTTGTTCCGATTGGAAAATTTACAAATCTTTTTATTTCGATAGTAATATCATAGTATAATTATATTATATTATGGTAATATCTCTTGATTCATGTAACTGAAGTTAACTTGGGATTCGGATTCGGATTCGCAAATATTAAAGTTGAGCAGCTAAGTTATACCCTTGGTTATACCAAATTATGAATTTTAAAAAAAGGTGTGAAATGTACTAACATACGCCGAACGACTAAAGTTAAACTTCTTTTGTGTTAAAAGAAATCACTACGTCAATTTTCAAAATTTCAATCAAAGGTAACTTGATTGACTACCAAGTTTTTTTTATCGTATCAAATGTAGGATGTTATTACCTTTTTAACAATATAAGCATGTCGATATTTATCTTTTACATATTTTTTGTAATTCGACAATTTCTAATAATTCACAGTGTTTTTCGATTTCCAAAGCCTCTCAGTAATTAATAGGCCGTTAAAAATTATAAACAATTGAATTTATAAAAAATTTACTCCAAATAAAATAAAACAAAAACTTAAAAAAATCAAAATAGAAAGTTTAAATAAAAATAAGAGAAAAATGATTCAATAAATGTTCAAGACCACACCTCCCAGGGAATTGTTGATTCAGCTATTCTTTAATGTTTACTTATAGCAAAATGAGGTAGCACACCACACCATCGTGCTGAAACCATATTTCTTTTTTTTTGCCTTTGCCAACCCAACCCACTATACATTTACAAATATCCATGCCCGAACCCGGATTCGAACCGGGGACCTTCGCACCACAGTCCAGCTTTAACTGAACTGCGCCACGCGAGCTTCTACGATGTGCACCAGAACATTTTGAAGAAGAGCAAAAAAAGAGTACTAAAAAATTTAAAGGAAAGAGCACCGTTTAAAATATGTTATTCAAATTCCATTTTTCTAACACAACAATCAACAACAGAATTGTAAATGCTAATAAACTAAACTGACAGATGTTATTTCATTTTATTTTCATTTTATTACCTAAAAACTAAAAACTGTAAAGTCACGGCCTTCTAAGTTTTATGATAACTGCGATATCCAATTTTTACTGGACATCTACTTTTTGAAAAAACGACGAATTGCGGCTAAACTACTCATTTTTGATATCATGTGTAATACATAGTCACACTAAAATTGACCAAAGAATCGAAATATGTAATAATATACAGGGGTCCATTAAAAAAATGCAACTTTGATATAAATCACCCTGTATATCAATTGCAATTTCGGTGAAAATATTGTTAGGTTGTAGCCTTAAGGGCCCTTCAATATTCCCCCACAATGAATTTTAAATATGCGCGTTAATAAATCCACAATCGTCCACCCACACACTAATGCCCCACCTTGTATTTGGAGGAAATCTCTTGTGGTGGAAACGTGCCTTACATGTACCGCTGGCATCTAATTGGTAAAATTAAATTGAAGAAATAATTTAGGTAAAAGTTATTAGCTATATCCCAATCTGTTACAAGCATAATTGAAGAAGTTATAATTTACCCCAATTCTATTCTATCCATAAGGGGAGATAATAACAAAAAATGATTTATGATTAAATTATCATAAAAAATTCGATATCTCGGTCATGGTATTGAATAAGCATTACTCCAAGTATCATAATATCAACTTAAATCGTTAATTTTTTGCTATTTGCGAAATTTTCAATTAACTAAGAAATTAGATCCATCACTAGTAGGCGGGAGGCACTTTGTCACCTGAAGGCCCAACCTTCAATTTTCTTTTGTTTGAAAAGTGATTTTAAAAAACTGTTCGACAATTGTTTCTTAACTCATCGAGTATATGTACACAATAAATTTCGAGGAATTATCTCCATTTTCGGTGTCTGGCCTTTTTTCGAATTCTCAAAACCTAATTTCAGTTTAGTGATTTTCATGTTCAAAAACCTCCAGATACCGAATTTCGTCGAAAGCAGAATTTTTTCGCACCTCCATTTACGGGTGCGTTCTTTCGTGGTAGGATTTTGAAAAATGTTTTGCAACATCGGAAAGGGCATGCCCGAAAACCTATTCAAAGACGTGCCACCAGTCTTTCTAACTCTTATGGTTGCTGAGAAAAAAGTTAAAGAAGAAATGCAAATTTCACCACTTTTGTGGGGGTGGCAAACGAAACAGGTTGGACCCTCGGTTTAAGTGGAAAAAGTGCTTGTTTTAATCCAATTTTTTTATATACTTACCTATACCTATGTAACACCCTGTATATATGATTCATTAACCTATTGATGAGTTTAATGGTCTCGCTTTTTTTCAAATTTGTAATAGATTCTCAAGACAGCAGTACCTAACTATAGAGTAGTTCTTTACTTACCTAAATCTGTAGCACCGAATTTTTGTGGTAACATTTTGCTGCGTATTTTCTCTGTCGCCCAATCTGCAAATTGAGATAATGAAAGAAATTATCTTAATTCTCTGAATCACTGCGATTGTTATTGACTAATGAGATATTTTATTCGTGCAACTCACCGCGCGAAAGTTTTTCATTTATTAACAGATATATGGGGATTTGGGATAATGCAAATTAGCCTGCACTTGGTCATGAAAATGATAGTAATAGATGACAAAATCATACTGGATAAGCTTTTGTTAATTTTCTTGGCATGATGAATGAATGCTCCGTTTCCTGTCTTAAAAACCCGGAGACTTACCTGTGTAGATGCTTGTTGAACGCAAGAAGGTTCATAGTCAATAACGCAACTTACATTGGCAATACAGCCTGAGACTGCTCGTTAATCTTTGTGCGCTACATATAGTTACGTTTACAGACAATCGAGAACCTTCCGCGATGTTTTCCGTAGTATGTGGGTAACTTTTGGAAGGGAATGATCCATTAACTATCCTGGCACCAGGACGGTTGGCATTAGTTTTACGTACCGTTACACTGTCCCCTATTTAAGGTTGATACGTTGCGTTTAATTTACTACAATGTTGATTTGGGACTATTCCGTTCATGTGGCATTCACGATGTTCGTTGCTCTTTTATTGCAAAATTCTGTTCGCGAAAAAAAAGCAATGAAGCATATTACTAACTATTGATCCCTAATGACCCACATAAAATCTTAGAAATCTTGATGCCATGTTGCTGCGGCCCGGCGGCGACGTTAGGCGCCAATAAATAATGCTTTGTGCAATGGGATGCAGTCACTACGCCACCGAAAACACCTTTACCTAGCTAACTGAATTATTAAAATTGTAATCATTATTTTCCCAAAGCACCCAGAATAAGTCGTGAACAAGAATAGAGAAATGTGACATGAGTACTCTATCTAGGTCGCACAATGAGTTCGAATACACACACAACTAAGTGATTGAAAATCACAAAACTATGCTGAAACACATAAAACAAACATAAAATAGAATCCCTGAAAGAAAGAAAGACGTATTGTTTTACAGTCAGGTGGTCAATAAAACATAAACAAAGAAATCCTTAAAATTACTTACACTTTTCTCTTATAAATCCATCTAATCTAGTCAAAACAGTGGTTTGCCATAACAGGCGCTCATAGCTCATACACAACTACTGATGGCTTTTATATTTTATGTTTTTCGACACACACACTGGATAACAAAACGAATTGGTCTGCTAAACACAATGACACTTTTCAGTGGCTG